CACATCCACACCATCCACACCCACACCCACACCCACACCCACACTCACACCCACATCCACACCCACACCCACACTCACACCTACCACCCACACTCACACCCCACACCCACCCACACCCACACCCACACGCACATCCACACCCTTTCCAAAAGAAACGTGTTTATCGAAAGATAAGAGCTACGTCAATACTTATCTTTTATCGTTACATATAAGGTAAAGCTAAGCTAATCAATATTATACTAATCATAAGTGTACTATTCCCATGATATCTTATATTTTTAGGTACATGAGTTTAGTATCATAAATGATTCAATCTATAAAAATAACAATCATCATTCATCACCAATTTTGTTCATCGAAACATTGTTGCTACACAAAAATCAAATCTTCGGAAAACAATAGATTTACTAACTAAACTTTCGAGATTCTTCATTCAAATATATTGATTAGTTTAGTTTTGCCTTATATGTAATGATAAAAGATAAGTATTGACGTAACTCTTATCTTTCGATAAACACATTTCTTTTGGAAAGTAAAAAAAAAGAAACAATCAAGAAAAAACAATTTCAAATGACAAGAAATAGAGACTAATATATGAACAGCGTTTAAACAATGGAGACGATTCATAAAGAGAGATAAAAGAAAATAGACCGTCCTCAATAACACGTAATCTATTGTGTGGCCACTTTTATACATGTTCGTGGCCAAAATCGAAATGGGAATAAGGCTCATTGCAATTCTAATTGACATCATCCTGTCTCTATTCCAATTCTGAACAATTGCAACCAATTAATTACAAAGTCCAACCGATTCCAATTCTAACTAATGCCGACCTATTCTAGGAATTGGAATTCGTGTATCTCTGCAAATTAACTACGTAACAACAATAGTTACTTTACTTTGGTAAAGTAACTAAAAAGTAAAGTAAATGACTCACCCCTACATCATAATTTATTTGTTTACTTAAATAATTAAAAGACTTTCTCATTCATGTATAAATTTCCACATTTTCTAAGCATTCTTGTAATTTCTTTCTTTAAATTCTGTCGTTTATTGCAAATCTTACGTCTCATCCCCATTTCTGATGATGTGTTCAGACTAGAACACGAAAGCTCGAATGTTATAGTTTTTTTTATTTCTAATTCAAATAAAACTTTTAAAAATGATATTCACAGCAGTTATTTTTTTTTCGTTCTTTTAGCTTCTTTTGCATTAATTTTTGGAAAAAAAATTTTTGCTCGAAGTCAGAGGTATCCTTTCGAGATCCTGACGGCGACAAGAGTAATTGATCATGCTGATTACGAATCTGCTATTTTTTTCTTCCGAACACTCTTCCTTCGGAACCGCTCTACGGTGATGTGGAAGAAATATTATTATAGAGAACACAATGTATACACATTGTATGCACTTATTTACTCACTAAAAGGCATCGAGATCATTCTTGCTAAGAAAGAAATTGAACATAGATTCTTTGATATCATTCTGGATATATAGCAGCTCCAAATTAAAATTAACAGAAAAAAAAATACTAAAAAAAAAAAAACCAGGGGTTTTATTCAAAAGTAAAGAGAACAATTTAAATAAATATACGACTATCCTATGTCATTTATAGAATTTTTTTCTGCTATAAACAGGTGCGTGCTTGATGTTTTTTCATTTATTTTCGAAGTATTATTATGCAGTTGATGCTTCATTTATATTGTAACTCGAATTAGACAACTCATGCATCAGAGCATAGTAAAAGAATGAGAAAAGCAATTTGTGGAAATTGAATATAGAAAAGAATAAAAGACTGTAAATAATAAATGTTTTTAGATATCATGTTGTTGTTGTTTTAAGCATAAAAGTTCTGTTTATACATTATTACAATTAAGTTTTTGATGTTTATTAAAAACTGCGCAAGAAAATCTCATTGTTTGGTCGAAAATCTATAAATAAAATCGAATCAAGTTCAATATTTCAATTTGTTTTTCTTTTGAACAGAAATCGAGTAGATGAAAATATTGCTTTCATCAAATATCATTATGAAGCTTATTGGAACATTATTTTATAAACAATAATTATTCAACCAATTGTAGAAAGGCTACTTTTTAATCAGTCAAATAAACTATAAAAATTTCTTTTTCATTTTTTATTCAAACATCACACATTAATACTGTTCAAGCATAAAAGAGTATTTACAAAAGAAAAAGAAATTCTTCATAAAATAAATGATGGATTTATATTAATATTCCAAAGCTTTGTACACTTCCTGTAAGGAACGATAAATTACATCTTCAGTATTCAATAAGGTTCGGAATACATATAAAATAAAGCGAATGCTCTTTATTTTATTAGATAAAATCATATGATTAAAATACTGAAAGAGTCATATCGCGACAAAGAAATTTGCAATATTAATAATGTTCGTCAGTTCTTTAATAACTAAAATATTTCGCAGTTGTATAACATTGAGGTGACACGGTATCTTTATCAAAAATTAATAAAAAATTCAACGCATATGAAAGAAATATAATTTTTTTTCTTGCTGATCAACTTTATTATACTTTGATAATGAAAAGAATTTCAATGGCTTTTAAAATATCAATAATCATATTCAAGTTCGTTTCTGACATTTAGGAAAAAAAACAAATTACGATTTAAGTTTCTTTTTCAATATTTTTATACATTTGAATAGGTTTATGTTTTGGTTAAGTTACAAAATTCTCTTATTCTTCTTTTGTTTTTTTTCTTTTATTTCATTTCATAAATGTAATGATGAATGTAAAAAATTTTCTAGATTAGTTTCAAATATAGAACAGTTATTTACGCCTGAAGAAAATGAAAAAAACATCTTCAAAGACGAAAGAAACTGCGCAAATCAGAAAGTTTTTCTTTCAAAACTTTTGTTAAATACTGAATACTTAAAAAACTTACAGAAGCACTTCATTTTTTAGAATTTTATTTATTTCTATGATTAAGACCAAAACAAATCATTTTTTATCGGTTATTTCTATTAGTTATCGATGTTAGAGCAAATAATTATTTTATTTATTTAGTTTTTTTTTGTCACTTGAATGTTATTCTTTCATTCTTTTTTTGTCAAAGATTAACTATTCTTTTTTTAGAAATAAAAAATCATTTGTTTGTTATAAAATGACATCATTAAAAAATTATTTTGTCAATTTAAATATATTTCAATCATCTAATGACTTAACAACAGATGAAGAAAAAGAACATGTACGTCGGTCAAATATTATTTCAACTCGAATCTTTTTTATTGTTTTTTTCATCGTTCTATTTGGACTGACTATTATTATGAAAACAAGAAACCGAAATATACTTATAACAGTTGAAAATCCAAGTGAAGATCAATTCAAAAATTTACCATCTGATGGTCATTGTCCATGTTCTCATATATCATTATCATATGGTGAGTTTATTTCAATTCAAACTCGATTTCATCAGATATGTTCAAGTGATTTTGTATCTGATCGATGGATTAAAACAATTAATTTTGGTTTAAATACAACTTATTTTTCCGCTTACGACTTTCGAACAGAAGGAAGTGCAATGTTTCAATCACTTGAAAGTTTTTGTAGACTTTCAAAAGGTTATGCTATTCAAAGTATTGATTCATTTAATAAAGATTTATTTATAAGTCAAGAAGTTTTAACAGAATCTGTATTTCAATCACAGATAAATGCCATTATTCAACAGTTTGAATTATCATCACCTATTGAATTCTCAACACAAGTAGCATTAATAAGAAAAATGATAGCCGGAAACCGTTTTCTATCTGCTCTTCAGACTAATTATATGCAATATTATGCAACTCTGTATATCGATTTTGTTCAAATTACGGTACATAATCGAATTCTCAGCAATCAAGCGGATTCATTATTCTGTTCTTGTCGGATCGATGTTGATTGTTACATGCCATCAATGATATTTAATGAATTCAGACCTAATATTGAGTATTCTCCGCCTTATTATAATATATTAATGGAAATTCCTGGAATGGTGCATGGCTGTTTACCAGTAAATACAATTCTTCTCTCAACATTAGAATGCTTTTACAATCAAACATGTTTAAATGATATTGTTTCATTCTTACCTACGAATGAAACTTTCACAGCAATGTCACAATTCGAACAAAGTCGTTATAAGTTAAATTCAACAATACAAACTATTATTGATAATTTAATGATTGAAGAATGGGTGACCGATATTTCTTATAAAAAATATTATAAACGATGTGCTCCAATTTCATGTACTTATTTTAAGAATGAAAAATATGATTGGAAATTTGTACTGATGCAATTAATTGGTTTATTAGGAAGTGTAACAACGATATGTAGTTTTATTATAGAAAATATAGTTAAATTCATTCGACGACAACCATCTCAAAATATAGAATCAATACCTTGTAAGTTTAGTTGTTTGTTTTGTTAAATAGAGTATGCTACCTACTTTCAACTCATGAAAATTTCTTTCTATGAACATGAGCAGAGTAAGGCAAAGTTTCTAAAGAAAGCAATTATACGCAGAGCTGGAACTACACCGGTTGAATTTATATTTGGACTGGTCGGTCTTCACCGATTTTTACTAATTTGAAGGAATCTCTAAACTTGCTCCGATCCCCATCATGGTTAAGTTAAGTCAAAAATGACTTTTTATAGTTTTATGTTTGTATAATTTTTTCATAATAAAATATGTCCACAGCAAGTTCGGATAGTCAAAAACATCAGTTTCATTCTCTCTATTTTCTCTAAGAATCATACTTTTTTTTCATCAAACTTTATTTTCTTTCCTAGAAAGCACTACTAAAACGATGTAACTTCAGATAAGCATGTCAATCTATTTCATTAATATGTTGCTGCAAAGCAGATTTGAGATTGAATTATCAAATAAACAGAAATATTAGTTCTGTCTTTGAAACATTGTAGATAAGTAATCGAGTGTCAGATAAATAAATATCGTTTTCCACCATAGACAAATATCGCATATCGCTGTTTGAAAAATTTGCACGTATACAGGACCATAGTGCCAAACGTTTCTTTGAAAAATACCAAAAAGAGAAGAAAAAGTCTCAAAACTGGTGTTTTCTGCAGCGTCTTCCTTTCACCAATCATAAATTATCCAACATATCGATCACCATCTGCCGGTGTTTACTGGTGTGGAATATATTTTAGACTGACTGGACCAAGCTGGCTTGAAAATTCTAGACTGGTTCCAACTCTGATTGTACATATCACTTCATTCTAGAGTTGAAAGATGGACGAATCATGTTGTTACATCATTTCATCCCTCAATAGTATAGTAGAGGTCTACTCAAAAGCCGTCGGTATGGTTGAATGGTTAAGATGTTTGACCCATTTTCACAAGATACCGTGTTCAAACCTCGACTCCATCAGTCATATAAAGACCTTGAACCAGTCACAAACGGTTAATTTGTCTCTGGTCATGCGCCCGATAGCAAACTGACTACGTGGTTGACATACCTTAACAATTATTACGACTAGTATGTGGTTAGTCAGTGTGTTGGGAAACTTAGTTAAGCGAGAAGAGCTTTGTATCAGCCTGATCTTCTAACCGGAGCTACATCTAGTAATATATGTAGGAAAAACATCGTGTCTATCGAAACTGTTCTTAGACAGCACCCAGTATTGTAATGTAGCCGAAAGGCAGAGGTATTCTTCTTCTACTAAAAAGATTTTTTTCCTACTGGATAATGTTAGTAGATTCTACTGTTAAACATTTCAACTGACCTCATGAAAACAATTTGATTACACTGAAAATAGAAAACAACGTCAAATGAAACCTTTCAGGTTCCGTAGGATTTTACCATATATTATCACGTATCGTACAAGAAATCGAAATCTCTTGAAGGTTTCCTAAGTTTATTGCCTGTATCAATAATTGTTCTGAAGTTTCGAAATCAAAAAAGTTTCACGGAAGAAGTTCATCATTCAAAATTCTTATCGATCGGAATTTTTTGTCATTGACCTACTTATCAAATACTTTAGAATGAACTGTAGACATATTTCCAGTCTTTCTTGAGTTCTTATATTTCAATAGCTGACTTCGTCTGGAAAAATAGAAAATGCTGTGATAATGCTGCAATAATCTTTAACGTTTTCTAGAGCCAAACACACAAACTAGAATCTCAACACATTAATTCATACCAATATTCTTAATGACCATTTTGATTAATTTTCTTATGTTTTTCTCCAAGTCTATTGTTTAAAACTGTTCACTATCTAAATTACAGATCCTTATCCTATCCTAAGCACGGTTTTTTAATCAAAACTTTCTCTTTGTATTATTATTTATATTTCATTATATTTTTATGGAGATCGAATTACTTTAAAACAATACGACAATTACTCACTGACAATTTCATTCAGTCAATGGCAGTGTAGACAGAAAAACACATGCACCACATTTCGAATATTAACGATAGCTATCATCCGTGAAAAAAGACTTAAGACAATACTAGTAATAGGTAAAAGAGACTGAGGAACATCGACGCACTCAGCAATAGGCATACATGAGTACCTATAAATACATAACTTACAAATAGATATTTATAGTTTTACCTACGACTGGAAGGAATTTGACATAGATATAACGCGCCACAAATGCATACAACAGATTAATAATAATTTAAATGGCTAGTAGTGACGTTTAACGAATGAGACGTAGTATCATGATTCAACCCATAATATTAGAGATTAATGGCTCTAGGCATTAAGTAGTAATTTTAAGTGCTATAATATTTCGACATAAGAAATAGAGTATATCTAGCGTGGTTAAGATACAAGTATAAGGCATGATAATAGTTTTAAGGATTAACGTATAGTTATAAATCTTCATCTTTTGGATACTTCTGTCTTCAGAGTGAAGACAAGCAGAACGAAAGAAAGTTTCTTTTTTTCTTCCCTATCAATAGACAGCTGAAAAGCATAGAGCCAGTATAGAGGATCGTTCATATATGATAGATTAGATCACGAGGTTAAGTATAGTTATAAGTCACAGTAGTAGCTGTCTGGGTTGACACGTAGATACAAGAGGTTTTAGATATAGGGGCAACGTAGCAGTTTTAAGAGTTAAGAGTAGATATAAGGAGTGAATGGTAAAAGTAAGATTTAGGTATAAATCTACAATACAATTGACATACTTGTAAGTCAGTAAGTATTGAAGTCAAATGAAAATTTATCGATGACACGTCTTTATTTTGTAGTTAATGCGAACTCGAGCACGAAATCTTACTTATATGGTACTTAAAAAGGGTGTCGGATTTGTTTCAAATCTCAGAATAGTTTTTAAGTTTCTCATGGTACCCATTTTTTTCAGTGTGGTTGTCAAGTAAGAATAATACATATGAAATATTGCGTTGATGATTTTCAGTAATCATTTGACAGATTGACTTCAAAAAATTTAAATAACTGTTCTGAAAGATCTAATATGGATGTATATCGAGACAAATCTCTTGAGCAATCAATTTAAAAGTGAGGAATTCCAGTATTACGAAATTTTACACATGGGACGCCAAGTTTTGTTGGAGACTTGCCGACCCGATAGGCAAATGCTTCCATATACACACTTAAGTTATCTGATACGAGTTCTAGTAAACTCTGTCGCATTAAAAGACCTCCAGAGAATGAGGAATATGAAAGATGTATTAGAAGCTCATGATTGGCATTACACACAAAAGTTTTTAGAGTTTTTTAAAGTCAATCTTCCTCTTAGCACTGGTTGTTTACATAAGCAAGCGCACTGCACATCAGAAAGTGGAGTAGATAACGTTTCACATAGTGTTTTCCGCTGATTTGAACGATAAAGAAAATGCTTTTCTTCTTTAGCACTATCTTAGGCATTCACTTAGGATAGTCCAAAAGTAGCGAGAATGATATTTTAATACCGTATAAGATGCGTTAAGAAACTTTCTTTCTATATAGTCTGATAGAGAAAAAAATGGTCTATTTTTCTATGCTATAGTCTGTCCAAAAACTCCGTAGGTGTGACTATTTGTTGAATAACTCAAGAACGCAAACAACTAGAGACCTGAAGTTTTCACCAGTCGAAGGAGGTGACATGTGGACGTCTTTTTCTCCGATATTGTACCAGACGAATTCATTTTAAAATCAATCATTTCCTCAAAACATTGGAAAATATGCGTGATAACGGTCTATTGCTTCGATGAGATTTTGGTTTTAATATGTGATTTGGAAAGAGGGACTTCAGATCTATAACTTAAGATATAATTTAAATGATTATATTCACACCTTCTAATATTAAGCAAATACAATTCTCTATTTGCTCCCTGGAAAAAAACGAATTTCTCTTGAATTTTCTTACTTTTTGTTAAAAATTTCATCTCAATGACAGAATATTTTCGTACATTTTTTCGATGTTTTGTAAAAAGGGTTGATTTTAAAATGACTTCGTCTTATACAATATTTGAGAAAAGATGTCCCCATATCACCTCCTTCGACTGATGAAAACCGCAGGTCTCTAGCTGTTTGTGTTCTTGAGTTATTCAACAAACAGTCACACCTACCGACTTTTTGGACAGACTATAATTGATTATACTTCGACTATGTAATATCATAATATTTCAATTTCGATAAGACTTGTTTTTTCTATCACATGCAATGGCTATGCTAATAGCTATTTAGTAGATATGTTTTGAATGACTTTTGATGGAAATTAGATAGAGAGCTGCGGTTTCCATCGTTCGAAAGTGAAAATCCCATGATGGAATCCGCAGCTCTGTCTTGTTTCCATCAAAATTTATCCAAAATACATAGTATAACTATCTCATATGATAAGAAAGCAGGTCTCATTGAAGTTTTGTCATTATGATATTAATTGGATTATGATCAAATAGCAAAGAAAAATAGAGCATTGTTTGTTCTGTTAATTTATATGGAAAGAAAGGTTTCTCAACGTTATTAGGTGATACTGAAGCGTCACTCTCTCTACTTTTTGATTACCCGAGGCGTAATATCATTATAAAAATTGATGCATAGGATGTATAACAATGCTTTTCCACGAGGTAACACTGTGATTTCGAATAGGATTTATGCAGAATTTTATATCAGATTAAAACGCGTTAAAAATGGGTTACATCGATAGTAAATAATAAGAGTTATCGAATGTTTTTGAAGTCGAACTCATAAGATTTTCGAAAATTTTATACGTTTTTCAGAAAAAAAATAAGGTAATCAGCGATTCACAATTGAGTAAAATGTTTTGTAGGATATTTTTACATGGTTCGATAGAGCAAGTATATCTTGAAGTGTCTTTGGTTTTAAAAAAGAATAGGAAAAAAACTAATTTCATTGAAAAATCGAATGTTTGTCCTTGGTCTCATAAAAATCATTCATTTTTTAAAAGTATATGAAATTTTGTAGAGTTCAATGAGCTCTATTAAATTAAGTAAAAATATCCTAGAAAGAATTTTATTCCTTGATGAATCTCCGGTTATCTTCACTTTTTTTCGGGAAAAAGGTGTAAAGTTTTCAAAAATGTTTCAAGTTCGACACCAAAAATATTCGATAACTCTTTATACTTAGTATTGATAGATCTCATTTTTAACATGTTTTAATCTGATATAAAATTCTTTGTGACTGCTATTTGAAATCAAAGTGCTAAACTTCCTCACTCAAAAAAAAACATATTTATACACCTTGTATATTCATATTAGGTTTCACAGAATGTTATAAGATTATTTGAATTTATCCAAAATAATTAGTCAAGATGGTTGAAATAATGACTCCATTATAGAGTTTTCGAAATTTCTCTACGAAAGTCATATTAATAGCTTCCTCATATTAGAAGCCATATCCAAAAACTCTGAATAAAAGATAGTTTAGAAGCTCCCGGGGGATTCTATAATGAAAAGGGGTTTATTCCTGTATCGAATTTTAAAAAGATGAAGATATTTCATTGCTGTAGCAGCATTTATTTTATTGTGATCCCAATGACAACCTCCTGGGGTAGCATTACCACTATCCTCGGTATATGATGTTTATTTCACTACTCCCTCACCCAGTCGTGTTGATTTTACATAGAGCATTACGTTATATGGAAAAACAAAAAACTGAAGAGAGAAAAGGGACAGAACACCGATAGAATAAGAATGAGGATTTCTTCATATAGAGGATACTATGGAAGAGGGCTGTGTTTATCGGCATATTGTAATAAGTTACTTCAAATGTTTTCTATATTTGCATCGATGTGATATCATTCAGCGAATTTTTGTAAAGTTTTTCAAGTTATGCTGTCAAACAGCAAGTCAAAATTGTCTACGCAGTATTTTATGTATTTTTCTTGCTTGACAACTACTATTATAGTAGTTATATTGTTTTTATTAGGTCAATTAAAATACATAAAAATAGTATTTACTTACGTTGTCGAAATAAAAAAAATGAGGAAAGTTTTAGTACCAAACAAATAAGCTCGTCTGAATAAATTGAAGTCAAAACATTTAAATTTCTTAGAACTTTGTTATTATTTATAAATGAAGCTGTATTTGAACTGTACCTCTTCATCTCAGAAAATACAAAATTAATAATCGAAAGCTATTTAAAACTTTCTGAATAAATAGTCTGAAAGCAAGACTGTGAAAGAGGTGAGACATGATCAAACGAAGGCGTTATGACTCCTTGACATCCCCATCAATGTCTGACATGATTTATTCTATTCTTACAACTTTGCATAGAAGAGAGGATGACACAGTAGTTTGTTGTTTTTAGTAGAGCAACGTGAAAAAGTTCGGACTGCTAGCTTTTTGGTACCAAGATATTGCACTTTTACGATTTGTTTTTAAATGAATGCCGAGGTCTCCCTCAGCGACACCCGAAAAAATGATTTTTGAATTTCGACTTGAGAATTTACGTAGAAATAGACCTTACTGAGAGTAGTATTTTGTAAAGGTTTCATCTTTTCTGAGTTGTTCCTGTCCTGAAATGAGTGGATCAAATCTTCTGGTTTATTCGAATGAAGTTATCATATCTGTATCTACGGATAGCAACAGCAGATATGTCTGAAACTTTCACAAATTACTATTCTCGGTGAGATCTGTTTCTACGTAAAGTCTCAGGTCGAAATTCGAAAATAATTTTTTCAGGTGTCCCTGAGGGGCCCATGGCATTCATTTAAAAATAACCGTAAAAGTGCAATATCTTCGTACTAAAAAGCTAGCAGCCCGAACGTTTTTCACGGTATTCATAGCTTATCTGTATCTACATAATGCACATAGTCTCAACGCAAAAGCGATTGATCAGTTGGGAACCCTCCCTCGTAAGATGGAGCTAGTTGACTTTACAATTTTTAACTTAATTACTTGACTGTAAAATATGAAGTACTACATCTTTATTCATACAATAAAATATTATGTTTATTTAGCTCATAAACTGCGCAAAAATGAGTCAATATGAAACGAAAATCTGGCAGTTCTAACACTTTGAACTTTTACCGCTGTGACTTTTCACTAAGTGCATCAAATAGATTTTCATATTTATCATTTGGCAACTTTTCTTTTAATGAATAAACCATCGTTTCGTCACCAATTCAAACAATAGTAAAATGTTTCTTGGCCCAAAAATTAAATGATGGATCGTACTTTCTTTTGTTCTATAGAACTTGTTGTATTTTATTGTACGTTTCATATAAGTTATGATAATTATTAACTAACTCTTATTAAATTCAGTTCGAGAACTTTCCACTACTTAAAAATTAATTATTCTTTATTACTGGGTAATAATTTTATGTTTTATATTTGAAAGTCGAATAGTCAAGTTAAAATTGTAAAGTGAACTAGCTCCATCTTAACTGACTCTGAAATTTTAAAGTTGACTAGCTGACTTTATAATTTTAAAGTGAACTAGTTGCCTTTTAAAGGCATCTGAATTTTAAAGCCAACTCCGACAGTTATACTGATTGACTTGATTTAATATTGAAATTATTTTGAGATAAAATTTTTTATTTGTTTTTCCTGATTAAAACTTAAAATAAAATTATCTTTTTTCTTTATTTTGTGTTTAGTAACAATAAAGATCAAAAGACTTTTGTGGAAAAATTTAATTGAACTAAATATGTTTAAAGCTAGTAGGAGTAATCAATATCAAATCAATTATCAAAAAATTGCAACTCGATTGTACTTATTTATTCTTCTCATTCCGTTTATTATAATTAGTTTTTATTTATTACTTAATGAAGATCTTCAAGAAAAAACAATTCATCAACCATCGGAATTTCAATATAAAAAACTTGAAAAAGCTTATTCTTCAAATCTTTATTGTCCATGTTCAACAGTCTTAATGAATTATTCAACATTTATTACGATTGAATCTTACTTTCATCAAGTATGTTCAAGTGATTTAATATCAGATGCATGGATTAATTATATCAAGGGTGACGACATAATGAACGATTATCTTGCAATATTTGACTATCAAAATTCTGGTGTATTCCACTTTCATTTATTGTCATTATTATGTCAGCATGCTCAACAAACAGTTAATATTCGTATCAAAACATTTCTTCAAACACAATTTCTTTCTTCACAAAGTATTTCCCAAAATCGATTTGAAGCTAAAATTAATTCATCTATTAATGATTGGAAGTCTAAAACTATTGATCAATTTTTAGAAACAATAAAAATATTTCAAGCTGTATCACATGGAAATCAACTTGTTAGTGAGCTGTTTCATAATTATATTCCTCATATAGACTCAAATGATGCAAAAATAAATCTTGAATTAGTAGAATATTTCAATTGTTCATGCACTTTATCTTCATCATGCCTTATCCCTATCGGTCTATACGGTAGCGATGTATACTATTTGGAGACTCCAGTATTATTTAAGAAAATCCCAAATTTTTTTCTGGGTTGTTCCCAAATCGAAGGATTAATGAAATCAACTTTAGAATGTTTTTATAATCTATCATGTATGATTGAATTCGATCAATATTTTAATTCTCCTTATGGATCATCTTTTAATTTTTCAAATTTAAATGAAAATTTGAATCAACCAAACGAAACAATCGAATTAATTATCAATAGACTTATGATTGATTCTTGGACATCAAATATTTCATTTTCTTCATATTATAATAAATGTTCTCCGGTATCATGTACATATGAATATATTAGTCGAAATGATTTATTCTTAAGTATAACAACAATTCTTGGTATTTTTGGTGGTTTGTCTCTTGGATTAAAACTACTTACCTTGATTATTCTTCGATTTATTGAGAATATAATCAATAATAATAATAATTCTTTTAATGGATTTATAATAATGATAAAAAGCTTATTTGTTTGTAATACTGAACAACGTCTTATTAATCGACTTCATTTGATTTTTCTTTTACTAATATTATACTTAATATTTATATTTTCTGCTTTTAAACCAAAAAAAGTTATTGCTCAAATAATAAAACCATCACTTTTAAATTATAAAGATTTATTAAAAGATCATTCTTATTCTCTTCAATGTTCTTGTTCACAAATATCTATTCCATATGAAACATTTCTCTATATTGAACTTCGTTTTCATGATTTATGTTCAAGTCAATTTATTTCTGATGAATGGATTCATTATATTTATGACGAAGGTAATCTTTCTCGTCGATTTTCATTTGATGATTATCGTTATTCAGCTCCTGGACAATTCCTTTCACTTTCTTCACTTTGCAAACTTGGTCAAGAAAAAGTACATCAAATCCGTTCGCAATTTCTGACAAGTTATTTTATAAATTCTCAGCTTTTACCTGAAAATCTTTTAATTGAACAAATTGAAATAATTCTAAATCAATTTCAATTAACTGCATCCAGATCATTTATTAATCTTTTTAATTTAATTCGTGAAATAATTGGTTCGAATATGATTATGAGTGGATGGATCACAAATTGGGAGTATACTCTTGAAAATGAATATTATTTTTATTTACCTGTACATACAGTACCTGTAAGTTATGATCAATGTAATTGTGGATTATCATTTAAATGTACTCAACCATCAGGAGATATGATGAGTGGTTGTTATCCACTTGAATCTATTCTTCAAACAAAACTTTCCTGCTTTTATGATCAAAATTGTATAGATTCAAATGGAAATTTTACGAGATTAAATATGTCAACATTGGAAAAAAGTCAATTTAATTTAAATTCAACAGTTGAATCAATTTTAAATAATTTAGCAATTGAAGAGTATAAAATTGATTTATCATATGAAAATTATTTTAATCAATGTAAACCGCTATCATGTTCATATTCTTATATTGAAACTCATGATGTAACTCAAACAATAATATCTCTTATTTCTCTTTATGGTGGTTTTGTTCTTATAACTCGTTGTTTAGCAATTATTTTTGCTAAATTTTATGAACATATAAAAAATCCAATTAATCCCGAAGCTCCTCAGCAAAATACTTAATATATACAAAGAAAAGAAAAACTAAGAACATTGAAAGAGAAATGAATTAATTTTGTCAAAGCTTTTGATGTTGTACTGGAACTATTTAATAAATTTATCAATCATAAGAACCTTATTTTTTAATAGAGATTTATTAATTGTATAAAATTATCATTTTTAACAGTAAAGTAGTTACGACACCTTTGGACTTTGCTAATTAGGTCTCATCGAATAGTTTCGACTGCATGATAATATGTTGGCTTGTCCATGAGGGTGTGGGTGTGAGTGTGGGTGTGGGTTTGGGTGTGTATGGATGTAGAGAAGAGAAAGACCCCAATGCACCCACACCCACAGCCACCCAATTGTATCAAAAAATTAAAACCATAAGAGTTTTGCAAGTTGTTCTTTAATAAAAGTTCTTTGAAAATGTAGTTGTCGAATTCATTTCATTTACTTTCTATACGATATTAGTACATTGCTGCTCCTTCCATAAATATTCCAATTCATTCTGAAAAATCTCTTTTTGAATAAGAGATGGGAATTCATTCTTTTATTAATAATACGAGAGCATTATGTAAAGCTTCCATTAATTTTTCTTTTTGTCGAGCCTTTCTATTGACAGCTGTTGTTAATGGACATATTGAAAATAAGTGAGTTCTATGTATGTTTTTCAAACCAATTTGGCCACGAATGTTGATATTCATTTCATTCAAAGTCACAATCACAAACAGATTCTACAAACTGTGTGAAGCTCTTTTCATAGCATCTGTCTCAGCAAGATTGATTTCGGATCCATATAGTGACAAATGAGTCATATTTATTTCGAAAAACTTAGTTCACAATAAAGTTGTGAAAAAAATGTTTAAAATTTGTGAATACAAAACGATGCAAAAGATGAAATCGTTAGAATAGAAATGAAGAAAAAAAAGAAAAAACACACAAAAAAGCGTTTAGTGAATGGAATCGATGACAATGAAAACAAAATCACAAAATTGTAAATCATTAGAGACAATACATGATAAGCAATTGATGGGCTTTGATTATGTTAACTACTTTATTTGGGATGGTCTTTAAGTGTCAGAAATACTAAGCAATATAACATTTATAAAAGTAATCGTTAATTTAAACTAACGAAGAATGAGCACTCTTCCGGTGTAAAAATGTTTGAATATTTTTTCTAGGTATTACTGCTTACCCTGTAAAACCTTTCACGTGCTTCTTTCTAAAGAGGTTCACTGCGATATTTTCTTGGTCACCAGCCGTTTTTCTTAGAATTTCTTCGCTTACAAAATATGTGAGCAATTCAGCACCTTGAGGAGAGTTAATATCTAACCGCTCACAACGTCCTGATGTTTCTTTTGCAATTATTTGAAAATGATGTTTTGCACCATCATCAAGATGAAATGCTTGTACAGGAATATTTTTAGCCTTTGGCTTTTGCAGTTCATCCATATAATAGGTTGGTGTTTTGTACTTAGTTCCACCCCAATACCTCTCACCAACACTAGCCTTTCTGTCCCTAGCTATTGTTAGTCTTTATTTTTCTGGTGTGTCGCCTATTAAAATAACTTGAGATATGCTCTCTCGTTGTTCACTCTGCTGAGCTGCATACCATAGTTCTATTACAATCGCATCTTCATAATCACTGCCATCCATAGGAGCTATCGGCATCATAAAGCTTCTTAAGTTGCTCGGTTTAGTTTCCCAATGGGAACTCTGAAGAATTCCATCTTCTCTACAATTGTAATCTCTATATACGACAAACTGCAATTGAAGTGCATCACTAGCCAATGCTAAGTTATTTAAAATGCTCGCAGCTCATTCAAATATTGTGCAGGCACTTTCTTTGATAGCTGTTAGTAAGCTTGACATAGAATCTGTGGCATCCATAAGCAAAACTGTACGCGACGAAGCTGTTACTATATTTGCTCCTTGATTTTGATTCTTTAAAAATTCTTTCACCTCTACAATATTACCCGTATTTAAAGCTGCCATAAAACTTTTCGAAGCATTGTGATCCCGTTTGCGTTGCTCTATGCCAACTTCTTTGCTATTACACTTACTCTCAAAAATAGCGTTACGAGCCTTATTCGAATTTTCATAAAGCGTCCTACCCTATACTTTTGGCAGTTCAGTCTCCCAAGAAGTACCAAGAACCCACTCTAAGTCTTTATCCAACAAGATCATTATATGCGAACCCAAATCTCCTTGTCGTGCTGCTCTTCTCATAATCTGTTATTCTTCGGATAATTCTTGAGTGAAGAATACTTGAAATACATGAATGCCATCATTAGCTGAGAGTTGGTGATTATTACAAATAAAGTCGGTTTCTCGACCAAATGTTCGAATCAATAACATCACTTTTTCGATGGTCGTTACACGTTTTATATAAAGCTCTCGATCCTTTACAGATACTTTCTTCGTTATTATTTGGACACTCGTTTTGGTTGATGATAATGCAGAAGAATGATAAAATTTCATTAGCTTATCTTCAGACTCAAAAAATACAAGAATCGCACGCTTCGCATGGAATATCACATCGATTTCTCCACGAATTTCCATGAAATACTATGCTTCCTTCACTGCGGGTGTGGGTGTGGGTGTGGGTGTGTGGGTAGGTGTGAGTGTGGGTGTAGGTGTGGGTGTGGGTGTGGGTGTGGGTGTGGGTGTGGGTGTGGGTGTGGGGTGTGGGTGTGGGGTGTGGGTGTGGGCATGGGTGGGTGTGCGTGGGTGATATCTATTGATCTATAAATACCCACACCCACCCTATTGAATATCCCTCTTGTTTAGTGTTATATATTTGTATGTTGATAAGATCTATTAAGTCCACTATCATAGAACGCGAGTCTCAAATGCAAATCAATTAGAATGTGCGACTTTTTCTTCAAAATTAGGAAAAAACTTCCGTTTTTTCTGTACATTTGTTATGTTTTTCTCCTAAAATTGTACCGCAGTAGTTCTCTCCCAAAAAACATTTATCACTAAAAGATAGCCCGTGAAAAACTGTATCTTTCAATGTATGAATCAACAGAATATTGCTTCGGAGACTGATTCAATTTTTCTTTACAAATAATGGTCACTACACGTTTTTGTGACATGTATATCTCACAAAGATACATGTGTTTCGCTTAAAATGTTCACCGTGAGCACATATCATAATTCTGTGTTAGCAAAGAAAAAGTGAGCTCAAACGGAGGAACTATTGATGAGTTGTTCAATGCCACCACGCATGCACAAAATGTTCATTTTTTAGTATTTTTTTGCATATACGTATCGTATGAATAGATTATGTTAGACAGTTGAAATTTTGGCTGTGAAGAGATCCCATTGAGTACTTATTCTAGTAAAAATCTCAGCTCTCTACATGGTTACTGTCGTTCAGGAAAACCTTTCGTAAAATCACGATTATGACCAAAAATACCACATTGACAGGGTTCGATATCCCTAGAAATGCAACGTGTAGAGGTCGGACTCCCATGGATTTAAAGTATTCATAGAGTACTACAAAGTTATCAAAAAAATCGCATGGAATCTGTTAGAGGGTGTGGGTGTTGGTCGTGTCTTCATTCATACCCCCCACACCCACACCCAGAACTGGGCAAGTTGAAGGTTTCTCAAGTCACAAGTCAAGTTAAGTAACATCCCAAAATTCTTTTCGACCAAGTCAAGTCAAGTCACATTTCAAAATTTTGTCAACCAAGTTAAGTCAAGTCAAGTCATTCCTCAAAATTTTTTTCCTAGAAGTTTAGTCGAGTCCTATTAAAAGTTAGGCAGAACATAACATTTACTAGTACTTATCGGATGAGGATAAATTTTTATAGTCTCAGAATTCTATTTCATGGTAAAAAACAATACTTATCAGAAACAGAACTGGGCAAGTCAGAGGCTTCTCAAGTCAAGTCAAGTCAAGTCAGACTTGACTTGACTTGAGGCATTTTTGACTTGACTTGCCCAGCTCTGCCCACATCCCACCCATACCCACACCCTGTACAATTTGTATCCATTCCAAGAAAATCACTAGCTACTCATCCGTTGACAGTGCTGCGCATTTAATCTTTAGCCAATACTAAGTCTATGCGATTCAAGTAATAATTCTAGTAAACAGAATCAATCGTTGAGAAAGAATAAAATATCACATATTTATTCGTAAGTATAGTTTGATGAACTGGACAGATTGAAGTTGTGTACAAAAACGAGAAAATCATTTTCCGTAACTTCATTTTGTCTGAAATACCATTACTCAGTAGAATCGAATAAGCAATTGATTGATTATTTAATCGGTGGTATTCGACAGATTGGACAGATATTATTTTCCTAAAAATCAAAGATAAAATTTGATCGATTTCGAATCTCTATCGAATAGCATCATATTACTTTTAACCAAGGATCGATACAATCTTGATGATAGACATGAAAGCATGTTAATCGACGCAATGTTTGTTGTGGTTGAAATTGTTCTATACAGATATTACATTTCGTTTCTTCTTCACTTTGATTTGCCGTGCGATGATATTTTTCAGTTGGCAATGTACTGATCTGTTCTTCTGTTAATTTATTGGCCGTCGTTAACTTATCTAATTCTAGTAGTCTCTGAAAGAACAAAAAAGTCTTCATAGAATCAGGACCCGCACGAAGGGCCGAAGATTGGGGAGTGTAAGAGAGAATGTTCGAAAAAATTTCGTAGAGATAGTGTCAAATTTAGGAAAAACTCGGCACCTTTTGCTGGAAAAAATTGAAAATTTTCGATTATTGGAGGGTTTGCACTTCTCTACACCTCTCCGCTCGCGTGGGGCCTGCATAGAATAATAGTGATTCAATGACAATCTACTTCGTAATCTTCAGGTCCAAAGTCTCCATCCAGGCTTAGAAGATCTTCAGCAACAGGATCATTGAAATGATCATTAATGGTTTGAACGTGATTTCGAGCAGTAAACGGTTGCAGTAGCATTGAAATAGCACTGATGACAGGATTAGAACCATTATTAGACGAGGTATTCAAGGTGCTTGTTCTAGTGACATTTGATGCAGAGTGTCGTACTGCAGGTGTTGGTCGCCGTTGTGAAGTTTGCTTACATTGTTGAAGCTTTTCTTCTGCTCCTAAATGAGCGGCTAATTCTGCATCACTTACAACAATTGGATCATCGGGATTCATATAAAAAGCCGGATAGATGCTATCATTTGATTCTTGTTCGGATGAAAAGTATGAATGAGAAGGAGCAGATGGTAGACTTGTTTTGGAATATTCTCCTGTTTGTAATTGAAGAGCATAAGCAGCATCATGATCAAGTTGCGTGTTTGTTAATGGCGAGTCATCGATATCGGTCGGACTTTCCGAGTAAAGACGTTGCTGTTGTTGTCGAGCAAATTCTTCATCATTGATTGTATTCCTACGCATTCTGAAATCGAAGGAAAACTAAACAAGAAATCAATGGCTATGATTTGTTTTTCAAATTTACGATGATCTGAGTCTCATTTTCTTCGAAGAAGATTTGCTTTGAGATGAGCATCAAGAGACGAAAATGACGAAAATAATTTTCTGTGATTCGACCATTGAAATGTCAATCAGCGATTAGGTAATATCATAAAATTCACTTTTTCATAGTTTTGTGTTCTGACTGCTTATCGAAAAGTTTTTTGATAAAATGTTTGTTCACTTTTGACTTGCTACAAACTGTTTCCGACGAGTCAATAGTTATGAGTTAGAGTCAGAACTTTGTGCTCTTTTCAAATATAGGCTTAGAAGTTTTGTCGCAGTTTTTGTTTGGAAATAGTGAAATGATCTGTGGAAAGATCCTAAAAATTAGTTTGGGCGGAAAATTTTTCCGCCCATTTTTGTATTTTCACTATTGTGAGGCGAAACTGAAAGTTGAGATCTTTGTGTACATGCTAGCTTGTAGATCTGAAGAAACCCTACAACATGTACTTTTTGAAATTATGTTTATCTTCCGACAAGGCACCTCAATTTTTGTTTTTCCTAAATATTCATGTTTCAAAAATCGACTTTTTGACCAAAACCCGTTTTCCGTTGAAAGGAGCTCTTGATAAAGTGCTGGTAACTTCACTTGGATAAAAGCTACAACTTGGTTCAATATCATATTTTGCAGAGAAGTGTCCGCTCTACAAAACAACAGACTCCGACAATTTTTTGAAATGTTCAAAAAGGGCCTTATAGGATAAACAAAAACCTGTTGGCTCAGCGTTCTAAATAATTTGTCAGACCTTTCAAAAAGTCCCTCCTTACTTTTGAAGAAAAACACCACAAAATTCTGGTCACAACCTATAGTTTCCGGCTTGTCTGAAACGCCTTCATGCAGGCCAAAATGAACAAACATGTTCACCGGAAATTTCGGCCCACGAGTTTCGACCAAACTAAACTTTTGGGCCTTTCCACAGATCACTTCACTACTTCAACAGAAAAACTGCGACAAAATTTCTAAGCTCATATTTGAAAAGAGCACAAAATTCTGGTTCTAACTCATAGCTTTTGACTCGTCGGAAATACTGTCTAGCGAATCAAACGTGAACAAACATTTTGTCAAAAAACTTTTCGATAAGCCGTTATTACTCTGTCATGAGTTTGTTTCACTCACTTCTCTTACTTGAGGCTCAAAAAGGAAAAGAAATTTAAAAAAAAGCAAGAGAATGTAAGGAGAAAAGAACTGAAAAAGGACTGTTTTTTATTCATTTTCATGGGAAAGCATGACTCTATTGGAATGAAATTATCATTGACTGATGATGAGAAGAATAGAGAAACACAAGTAACGTGAATCGAAAATCGATTCACTGGGCCCTAGACTGACAGAATTCACCCATGCAAACGCATGAGCAGCGGACAATGGCGACTATTTCTTTGAGAGATCCTGAAATTTCCGAAGGGATGGCCGCATAAGTTCAAGACAGACGAGGAAGGCACATGGAGATTAAGTAAAAGTAGGGTACGGATGGGACGAAAATGAAAAAATGGCAAGGACAGTAACTAAAAAACGCATCCGAAGTCAACGCGAAAAACAGGTGCGAAGTAGTGTCCAAACCAGGATTTTTGCTCAGGGGAAGCTTTCAGCTTCCTCGCAAATAGAATACGCTCTTGACAAATTCCTGCAGAGAGGCAAGCGGTTGACTCCAACCTGGCTATTGGACCACGCGGTTCCAAAAGTGAGAGATGGAGGGATAGAAGCTCCTTATTGGAACTCCGCCTGCTCCCTTCACTTGCTCCGTCATTATACACGGCTGCTTCGTGTGCCACTTCAGTGGATCCAGCCATAACATGTGCCATAGAAATGGTCATTTGTGCCATAGTAATGGTGATTTGTGCCATAGTAATGGCCATTTGTACCAAGCGCTTGCTACAGACAGACAGACGGACAAACAGACACAGGTGAATTACGGTTTCTAGACCCTAGCCTTTCAGTCTAGGGAATATTAGCATAAATAAAAAAAGCTTATCAGAGCAGCTTCTACGGGGCAAAAATGTGGAACTCACATATTTCTTAGCCTTCATTATTTTTTAACTTTCTAACTTTGTGTATTTTCCCAAGAAAAATTAGCAAGTCTGACGCCTAGCTTCTTCGATTGCTAAAAACTGTAATGGAGGGACGTCTGTAATGGGGGCCTGCGTTGCTAAGTGTGTATAATGGGGAGGGAGTGAGAAGAGGAGGGGGATGCCGTCAAAACTTTGACCTAAAACTTACACTTACTATTTTCTTCGAAAATATATGTGAGTTCCACAAAAACCTTCTGCACTAACTCAGTCATTACAACAGCTAGTAGATTTTTTTCATGAAATATATTCGAACATTTTGTTGTTTCTACACATGACTCAGCAGTTGGGAACAAGTTAACGTCGTTTTTTCTATTGATCACTGTGTGGACGAATGACAGAACGCAAGAGTGAAATGCAAAAAAGAAAAATTTACTCTTAGTGAATAAGTCATCCAATAGCTGCCATCTTTCACATTACGGATGATTCACAATCTAATGCAACGATTGTTATAACTCTGATATTAATTGTATCTACGTAATAACCATGGGTAGAAAGATGAAATTCTAGCATAGAGTACATACTGTATGTATGTGAATATCAGTCCTACTTAGTTGCGTGAAAGAATCAAAAACTATGTTACAAACCTTTGTTGTGTTTTTATTTGATGAGTAATCCAGATATTTTGTAATTCAACTTGACATCAAAATCACCGAAATGCTATCTTGGATATTTCTTTTACCTCACAGCACTGTTTATTCTAAGCAAACATCATGATGAGAGCCATATACTCTTTTTGTTCTTCACTTTTCAACTAACACGTGGAAGAAAGAACAGAATCGATTTACCTTTCGTGTTGCATGATTTATAAAAATATTCTTTTCCATTACTATAGCCTTCAATCACGACTTGCGTTTATCCAGCAGTTATTCTGTTGATTTACAACATAAAGCATCCATATTCGACACTCAAATCTCCTATCTGGAGGTGTTACCGGTCGAAAGTCTTCGTCATATTTTCGATAGTCTTGATGCACAGACAATATTATTGCCTATTCGCAACACTTCTCGGCGATTGATAACAGTTGGGTGGATGTGGGTGTGGGGTGCGGGTGTGAGTGTGGGTGAAGGAAAGGGTCATATCAACACCCACACCCACACCCTTAGTGGTAAAAGCACTATTCAAGGTCGTATCCCGAAAACAAAAAATGTTTAGTTAACTATTTGTGTAAGTGACTTGCTACATTTTTCATCATTCAACTTACTCAACACTTTAATGATTTTATTTATAATAAATAAAAATAGAAATCCGTAAGTCGTTTGTAAAAAAGCTCATGACGAAGCTATTTATTTTCTTGAGCATATTTATTCATTGCTTCACGAATTTCGGCTGCACGACGAGAATCTTCTGCACCGTTTTGACGTAGTTCAGCTTGAATTCTTTGCAAGATCGAATCATTCCAATAATTCCAAAACGGTGATGATTCAGTAAAAATAATAGATCCTGTACCAGACTCTAACAGAGCTTTTCTTAAATCTTCACTTTGCTGAAACTTAGCCAAATTTCCTTTATACATTTCATCCACTTTAACCGATTTCCAATCTGATCGTAGTTGAACTGTCTTTCCAGCTAATTCACACGAATCACCTGGTCCCGAAGTCAAAATCTTTAGTCGATCTCGCTCGTTTGTCGTTTTAGCATATTGAAAATAATTTTCAGCAGACGAATATCTTGCTTTATCAATAACAAATTGACATGGAAGAAAATTATCCGTTTCTGGATGTTGATTGCCATCGACAATACCAGAACCACCCATATTAAAACAGAAGATATTTCTAAAAATAATTCTAACGTACAGACTGATGGTTCCATATAATAAATTTAGTTATGAAAGAATCAATTTTAATGAAGACATTCTCATCATATGATCTACACGAATTCAGTTCTATTTCTATCTTCTTAAATAGATGTTTCAGAAGATTCGACAAGTCATCATATCTCTCAAGAAAAAAAGCAAAGCACACAACTTGTCAAATTGAATTGACAATTCAGAAATATTAATATTCCCAAAGGAATACTCTAAACAAAGTTCGGTTGATTTTTTATCTAATTCTTATGAGAAGAAGCGATCTTTGAAGATAGTTTAATGTAAATATAAAAATCGAGATGCTAGGTATATTCTACTTGAACTTCTAGTAGATATACAATGCATACCAAAATTACTCAACAACATTCACTTTCAATTCTTTTCCGCTGTCGTAAGCGTTAGAAAGGGTGAATGTGAACGATGAAAGGAGCAAAGTACCCACCCTTTCTGTCAATAAAAGATACAGTGAAATATTGAAGTTTTTAATCGTTTATTGAGTTTACTTTAGTATTTTACTTAAGATGAATTTTTGTTTTACTCATTTAATTAAAAGTTTTGGTGCAATCTCATGAATACTATAGCGGTTTTATTTCAGTTTCATCTTTTTTATATCTTACCAGAAATACGAATGAAGAATATAGACATTGCAGAAAGAAATATCGAAAAAACATTGTGATGAACTATTATATGATCAAGTATGAATGAATATATTTTGCCCGTTGTCTTCATTTAAATAGACTTATTCAAATAGAACTTTTGTCAGAATATTGAAAAGACAACTAAAAAGGAAAATATTAGAAATTAAGCAATAAATTTGATATTATTTTTTTGCGATAACAATTTTTAAAGATCATTAACAGTAGTACAAAATAATCTAAAAACTAGTTTTTGTTCATTATGAATTGATTCGATAATTTAGTTTCGTTTTCTATTTGCAATTATCGTGTAATTAATAATGAAATAGGGATCAAGAAAAAAACATTCGTATAATGAATTATTAATAATAACTTCAGAAACTATGTATGAGACAAAAAAGAAGCATATAAAAATAACTAATTCCGTATTTAGGGTGAGTATGGGTCTCAGTGAAAAGAAGGTTTACACCCACACACAGTTCCAAATTTAAAAAAAAATTCAAATCATTTACAAATACTTGGTTTATCAAACAATCATATAAAAACTGTTGATGGAATCTATTTTCAATCATTAAATAATTTAGTTTCATTAACTTTATAAAATAATTCAATTAAATATATTGAACATTTGGAAGATTTATTTTATTAAAAAGAAATATTCATCACCATTATTTCAATCAACTACATGTCTTATGCTTCTTTATTTGATTGTCAAGCATATATTGATCTGCGATGTCCATTATTGGGAACAACATCTTTTTCTCCTTTAATAGAAAGTTCATATTTTGGTTTTAGCAATGTATTAGTTCCGTTTTCTTATCTTTTGTTTGTTTTTATTACAGTAAAAAAAAAGTGAAAGTTATCTTTTTTCTTAAAGGGTTTATAATAATGACTGTAAAGGTTAGAAATTATATTATATAGTTCAAATATGAAATAATATTAATTAATCATTTAATTAAAATCTGAAAAATCACCATCTAAAAATTCATAAATACAATTAATTCTTCTTTCGAAAATTTAATTTAGTACTTACAATAATTTCTGTCCTTGTAATACTGACTGTTCTGTGTATATGAATAGTTTCTATCCGAATTGAAATCATCATTTACATAACCTAAACGATTAGTCAGTTTTACAATTTTAAAAGAATAAATTTACATTCGAATGACTTACTATCCTGATTATATTGATTGTTATTATTATAATAATTAACATCATTTGTTGAATAGTCATTTCCTTCATTATACAAAAAACAAATAATAATAATAAATATCTGTTAATGTATACAGAAAAAACAAACTTTCATCATCTTGATATGGATCTGAATAATCATATTCATCACCTTGAGGATTTTTATCATGCCACCAAGTATCTTGATTGACTTCATAATTTGCATTATTGTTACCATCATTATCATCATTTTCATTCAATGTTTCAATGACATGATTATCATCATTAGTATTATCGGAATAATAATTCTGATGATCATCAAGATAATCATCGTCATCATTAAAAGACCAATGATCTTGACCAAAATTATTATTCGTCAATTTTCGAATAGTCCATGCATCAAAACAGAAATCTGAATTAGTCATATAATCATATGGAATATAACAATATCCTTTATCACCCTAAAATAAAAATAAATAAGAATAATTCTTGAAAACTAACTCATATTTACCCAGTCTTCCCCCCATGAATTTCTAACGATAAATGCTCTTGACTGGTCACTATAACCAACAGCTAGCATTGCATGACTACACAAAAGAAAGAAATTTATATTTATTTTTTAATTCATTAAGCATTTATATGAACAAACCTTCCATGTGATTCTCTGTTACTATCTGATGGATTTGGCATTGGTACAATACCTGTTTTTGTTGCTTTATCAAATGAACTAAGTAATTCTAAACCAAATGCAAATGGAAAACCTTGTGCAAGACATGATTTCATTTCAGTTAAATCAATATCAACTCGAAGTGCTTCATGTATTTTATGATTTTTTGCTTGTTGATAAGCTTCATCATTAGGACGCATATTAACACGTGATATATCATATGGCCAAATTGATTCGAGACATGTACCAAATTCTTCTAATGCTTCAATAGCATCTGTCATCGAACAACCAGTATCGTCGATTAAATCCGAGTATTTACCTTTAACTCGTGCATTATAATAAATGAATAAACGACTGACATCTGTATTAAGACCATTAGATTTCTTTGTTAAATATTCATAAGCTCCTAAAAGAAAAGATCAATAGTAAAATAGAAAGAATTTAATTATTTGTTTTTTTTTGTACCAGCAAGACAGTTAGCCGCACTAAAATATATACAATTATGAAGAAATAAAAATCTTTAAATGATAGAAATTATATTTTGTTTTTACCAGCTTCCAATTTTTGATTGGTCTTCAACAGGTGTCATATTTAATCGAAGATCAACTTTTGGTGGAAGTTCATTAGCTTTTAAGACCATATATTGACGAAAATTTTGACATAGTTGATTTTTATCTGGTAAACGTCTCGATCGTAAAATACCATCAAGTCGAAATTTTTTATTGTTTGTTTTATTTATTAGATAAGTTTTAAGCGGCATATTATTGTCGTATAAATATTAATAATGATAATTTCGTTATCAACAAAAGTTTATATAACCACTAGAAACTTTGTTCCTTATATATACATATTTATGAATAAGTACTAGTTGTTCATGCTTATATTACATGATTATTCTTTTTTTCATTCCTCCGCAAATTTATTTACATGTAGGTGAAAGACTACGATAAAAAAAAAGCACCGTTTACTTTTTGATTGAAATGTAATTATTCATTATTTGATGGCAAAATTCCGTTCGTTCGCTTTAATTAAAAAAAAATAAGTACGATGAATAATTATTGATATAGATATTATTCATGACATGAAAGATATTTTTATTCATATTAGTGATCGAACTATAAGATAAAAAAGCTTGATGATAAATGCACTAATTGTTGATATTTTTCAGAAATAAAACAGCTGTCCATAATTGATTTCGTTAATTGTCTAGATATACGTACTTTGGTATAGCTCAAGTCCATACAAATATGGACGATAATCAATGCTTGACGATATTTTTCGTTTTTACATTCATTTAGGAATAGTTTTTGAATGACAAATTGATCACTGAAGACGTTAAAAAGGAGATAAAATGTTTTTAGACTATTTCATTAAAAGAATGTTTCGACATTTATCTTTGTTTATTTGAATCGATGACGTATAGAAATCTAACGAGTATAGAGATGAAGATATAATCGAGAAAAAATATACTTGTACTGATCTTTAAAGTTATTACAGAATTTCCTATTTAATTGATATTCATTATTAAGATAGATAAGTTTTCTTTAAATGTCTCTTGAAGACAGATGTGTTTCCTACTGGAATAAGTACTTGGCAGCTTTAGCTAACTCTACTGATGGTGAACTAATTATAGAAAAATCTAATATCAACGAATTTAAGAAAAATTTGTCCCAAGCGAAATTTTCGATTTTCTGTATTAGAAAATCCAAGAGACTCATTCTTCATCAATCAATAACCGAAAGAGCTATTACTTGGCTTGCTTCTGTTCCTTCGAGTTCCTCTGTCCCTTTCTATGAAATCGATGAGGTACTTCTCTTTCAGAATTTCCCGAAAACTTTCTTAAACGAGTGATATCTTGGCAACTCTTCTTTTCTTTTGTTCTGTTCTTTTTTGTTTCTCTTTTCTTTCTTGTTATATAAATTGCTTATATGGTTCTTTTTCTGATCATACTGTCAATCACATCATTTTTCTTTTCTTTTTTTTGTTGTTGTTGTCTTCTGTGTCTTGTAAACTTTTTTATCTCGACTATTATGCCTGTCTTCTGCAACTTTACTGCTGTTATCTCTCTCAATCATATGCTAGATTATAATTTTCTCAAAATATTTCTCTTTATTTTCTTTAAAATTGTACTGACAAGATCTTCGGATCGCAGTTATAGCTAATAAAAAAAAAGAATTTCGATTAGATCATTCCCTCCACCATAATAATTTCGTCAAAGTCAATTATCAACATAATCCTCATCATTTTTCAAAAATTAATTACTAAAAAATTTAATAACAAACATCAAAATTAAAAGAATCTACAAGACAAGCCTTCAATTATGGCATATTCATTCCAAGAGCTATTATTAAAACTTTTTCAATAAGATAAACACTCCGAACCGTTTGTGTATTACTAATTATTGAATACCCTTCATCATTATATTTAGCGTAAGTTTCAATTGTACGATTATAGTAGTAAGATAATTATCAGAACCACTCAAATACTAATGATCTTGACCAAAACCAATTTTTAAATAGTTATATAAGCGGATGTGGATAAAGAGAAGTTCCATACCCACATCTACTCTCTTTTTGTTGTTATTTACTTTATATTATTTAGATCTTTCATAGTTAATTTACAGTGGTTTGATTGACATGTTGTAAACGGTCAAATTATAGGCATATCTACTCAAAACAAGTCATTCATCGTTTTTCGAAAACTTTAATAACTGTACAGACCAATAGACTGCATCATTTTACTGCCCATTTGTCGTAAAAATTGGTTTTCTGCTATACTTTTATCAGAGCATGTGTACTGTTATGATTAAATATTTGAATGGCTCGAAACAGAAACGAGAAAAATTCGCTTAAATATAAATGAAAAAATAGTACATTCTTTTTTCAGAATCGGAAAAGGCTTACTTTTTGTGTTATAATCAAATTGTTACTTTTTTCAATGTCGATGAACTTAATCTTCAACGAAAAAACCTCAACTCTCTATTCCTATCTGTGAAACAGAAAAAATTTTCAGATTAGGCTCGATCAATAACGAAATTATATGCATTTACACAATAATCATGAGCGTCGGTACTCTGAATATTCGATGATTATTTTATTATAAGTTTTGACTCGTTTCAGTTCGGTTAAAAACCACGAATCGATCCCATCTCTGGTGTGTAATAAAAGCAAAGGAACAGTTGTGGAAGGGCAGTTGACACAGGATATGATCGTGCCAAAAGGCTTAAACAGTTAATCTCTTAATTCATGACACACAGAGCGCACAAAATGTTGAGCTTTCAATAATAACTGAAACGATTGCTTTTCCTTTTCTGCCACACTTATATCATAGACTCATTCACATTATAAATTGTTATCGAAATAAATATTTTTTTTATTTCTGTGGCGCAGTTATTTGATAGCCTTATTGGCACCAAGAACTATAAATCAGGGGAAAATGTTTCTTTCTGCTTCTTCCTATCGGGTTATTCACATGGTTTCGAAAATTTCATTTATATTTGAACTCGAATTAGACAACTACTCTCTGTTTGAGCCATTTTTTCGTTATTCTTTCACTAGAGTCGATCAGGGCTCGTTGATATTACCTTTGACCGCTTTGTCTATCGTTCATTTCAGTTCAAAACATTTCATAAATTCAATTAAAACATATTATTGTGAGATTTGATTTTTAATCAATGGATCAGTATTAGAGTTATCACTTTATCTTTATTTTACTTTAAAAAAGTAAAATAAAGTAAAGTAAAGTAAAGTGAAGTAAAATAAGATAAAGAAGAGCATGTAGTTGTTTATTATTTTAATTTGGCACAACTTTTGACATAATGGAATGACATTAATGCTTGACAATGCGCTAATCAATCAATAACAAACAACCGTATGCTTTACTTTGTCTTACTTGACTTTTCTGGTAAAGTAAAGATAAAGTGACAGCCTTAAACACTATATATAATCATAAACTGGAGAATGAAATATGAGAGAATGAGAACATGAAAAGGAGGTATACAGAGGAAAAACAATGGAAAGTTCAATAAATCATATCAATGGACAGTATTAGTATAGTGGGAAAGAGAGATAAGAGAAGACTGAACGAGTTTATGAACATAAAACATTATGAATATCTGCGCGTGACATTTAATATATGAAGAGTATGCGCACTTTGATCAAATGTCAAAAGGCATAGAAACGAGAAAAAATGTGTATAAAATTCTGTTTGTAATTTATCATTATCTTATCTTATATAAATTTCATTTGTTGTTTGTTTGTTTTTCACGTTTTAGTGTAACACTCTTTGTGACTATGGTTAATTATCATAACTACACATGATTTAGTCTATTTTGAAACATTCGAATATTTATTGCTTTTTCATCCTTGTACACGGTCGATCTTGAAGCATGACAAATCTGATATACATACAATAATCGAAAATTGATTTCAAGCTGCATAGAACACAAAAAAAAACAACTAATGGCATAATAAAAAGAAAAAGATTCGTTTATGTGTAATATCATTAAGCCATTTTTTGGAGTAATGAGAAACAAATGTAATGTCATACAACCAAATTTTTAATATTCAACAATGAATCATCATACTGCTAAACTCATTGTCTTTTTTTTTTGTATTTTTATCACCAACTACTATTATTTCATCTTATTTATAAAAGACGAGAAGCATCTCCTGCACATATACGATCGAAGAAGTCACCTTGATTTGATTCATTTTCAAGCACTTTATCCATCATTGCCTAAAAAAAACCAAGGAGAAGATGAGTCATTATTAAAAAAACAAGAAGCAATTGGTATTTGTGTCAATTTTAACTTTGATCCCGATACAGATGGTAATACACTTGGTTCAATCCTCCCTTTCTATACAACAATTAATAAATATGTTGCTATTCTCACTCCATCTTCATTTAGTAAATTCTTTGGTCGAAATCTTGAACTGTTCAATCAATTTAATGTAACGCTAATTTTAATCGATAATCAAACATTGAGCAAAAGTCATTTATCGTTTATTGACGATCGTATAAACACAACAAGTACTGTTTATTATATCGAATGTATTGATGGATCATCAGGTCAATTACAGCATAAATGTCTCTTACTTTGCGTGCAATTCTATGCCCGCCTCAAAATTGAACATTCTACTCTACGTGGAATACTTTATACAGCTGATGATCTTTATTTTAATTTTGCTTATGTTTTTTCACATCCGGAACGATTTTCATTGGATGAAGTTTGGACTGTACCTTGGATGCAGCTAGTTGATATAAGTACAAATGATAAAGGTCGTTTAGGTAATACATGGTGGTGGTGGAAAAATAAACCTCATCTTTGGAATAGTTTCCGAGATTTTTTCCTAACTAAATCAAAAATATCGGAAAAATATCGACGTATATTTCAAATACTTTATGGATCAAATAAACGTTTAGCTGTAGGTATTGCCGATCTTGTATATTTACCATTTGCTGACGATCAATTGGCAACTTTTATCTCGATTACGAATGAATTGATGACACTTTTACCATCAGATATGTTTTGTGAAATCATCTTTCCATTACTTGTCGATACGACAATGGCTCTTTGTGGTCATTGGCCATTTGAAAATGATCGAGAAATGTATAATTCCTCCGTTAATCATTTAAATAATCTATCAACAATACAACAAATGGAAAGAATGAACTTTATTAAAAATGCCCGTAATCCATATTCTCTAAATAACAGTTTTCGTCAACGACCGTGTCTTTTCAATCCTGATGGTTTCATCTGGGATCACAATCGTCAAAATCGACAATTATTTGAAACTACAATAATTAATGGTACAGTACCTATCATGCATTTGTCGAAACCATGGCCATATAGAACAGAATTTCTTCATCCGATGAAATTATCGAATGATAAACAGTGGGCGTTTCAATTGTGGCATCACGGAATGCAACAACAAATTGAACAACTCAAGAAATATCAAACGGATAAACTAGCAGTTCGTTAGAGATATCTTTTTTGTTGCTGTGGATCTCGGAGTGAAAGAGAATTTTTTGTTCAACCAGATCTTATTCTTGATAAAATTCCTGTAGCGAGAAAAATGAAAAATAATGTCATCCGATGTAGACTTTTTTTCGCAGTCATCATTTCAGATTCATATAAACAAAAACCATATGCAAAATTCAAACTATCATTCACAAGAAAATATGTGCATAACGTGGAGGATGAGGGCGAAAGAAAGTGGCTGTAAAAGAACTTGGCCAACAATCATACATTTTCTACAATATGGAAACATTATAAAATGGAATATCCCGACAAAATTCAATTGCATTTAAGATAGATTTATTTTTATCTAGTCTCATCTTAGTTCAAGAAGTGTACCCTTGAAAAGAATTCGATTTTAAATGTTCTTTTTTTGTGAACCATCAATCGAGAAAAAAGCGTCTATAGTTAGCCGCCATATATATATATATATAAGAAGAGCGTTTGCATATTCGTATAGATGTAAATATCAATCATTATTTAAAAGTCACTTGATTGCCATCACTGATAAATCCGACTTTAATATTTTAGTAAAACTAGTTTATTTCAAGTACGGAAGGTTTAAGAGTCAAATACTTGCTAGTGACCATTTTCTGTTATATAGCCGAAATAAAAAATAATCAAATGATTTGATGAAATTTTGGAAGTAAAAAATCAGAGATGACTACCCTTAAAATTCTTTTTAGCATCATTGGCATCTACTTGGATAGGGTGTGGGTGTGGATTCCAAATCCACACCCATAAATTATTTTCATATTCAAAATAGATTTGACGCTATTTCAGAAGCGTTTCATTTTATTTTCTGTCCAATGTTTGACTTCTTTCAAAGCTTCATCAATTTGATTTGGTTTCTGCAATTTCGAGATTGTTTATAAACATGATCACTTGGAGTTTTCGCTTTTTCTATCAAATCGTTCCTTAATTTCGTTTGATGATCCCAACAACATCACTTGTGATTCCTTTATAAAGAGTATTGTTAATAACATCTATGCATTTTTTAAAAACCTCACTGCTGTGTGTTAGAACTATACCTTGATACTTGTGTTAAATGTTAAGAATTTTCGGAGAAGATCCTTCTTCACATTTGCACTCGCAATTATTATTAAACAAGTAACGTTAGACGAGTTTGGTGATCATGCTAAAATACGAATTTTTATTCAGGATGTGGGTGTCGATGATTGAGAGTAAAACGAAGGATGTTCTTCACCAACTCTCATCTATACGATAATCTTCATCCTATGGAATAAGTTCTTATTCGATATATATTAGCATATGATTATCTATTGACGGAAAAATATAACTTCTTTGAAAATTTTACTGACTTCCTTCAACAATGAATAGAGGGACAAAAACAGATTCATGAAATTGATTTTATTATTCTTTCCTAAATCTATCGAATAGAAATTCTGAATAGCTAGGTGAAATTCAGGTATCGATCTTTGTATTATTCAAAACATATTTATAATGCTATCAGAGAAAAAACTTTTATCATTATCAAAGTAGCAGTTTTTGGCAGCGATGCATTCAGAAAAGCTAAAACATGTCGAGAGTGCAAGAACAGTTGTTTTGAGTGATGTATGTAAAAGTTCATAGAATACTTTCTTCTATAATAGTTGTAAAAAGTAGATAAATCATCGATTGATTAAACTCTTATAGAGCCAAGTAAGTATCGATA